ATATTCAGAGAGGAAGGGAGAGAGATAGAGAGTTAGAAACATCGATGGGAGAGAAACATCGATCAGCCGCCTCCTGCACATCTCCTACTGGGGATGTGCCCGCAACCCAGGTACATGCCCTTGACCGGAATCGAACCTGGGACCTTTCAGTCTGCAGGCCGATGCTCTATCCACTGAGCCAAACCGGTTTCGGCAGCTCTGGTTACTTTTAATGGGAGGTGTTATTTACAGTTCACTATCTGGATGCAATAATCCAATTTTTTTTATTATGTACCTTTTTATTGTCTTCTAGGATTCAGGATATTATAATAAGAATTAGGAGAGCTAACATTTATATGTTCAGAAACACTTATTTTTCATTCACTATCTCATTCTATCGTCATAGTACCCTATGAGGCTGGTATCTTGTTATACCTACTTTATAGCTGAGGAAGTGAGGAACAGAGAAGTCAGATTTCCTGGATCCATATAGATAGTAAATACTTTGAAGTGGCATTTGATCCCAGGAATTCTGATTCTGGAAATCAAGTTCTTTGTGATGTACCATGCCATTCACTGTTTTACTCTATAGCACCTCTTCCTGAATCTGATATTTTTAAAAATTGGGGTAGTCCCTCTTCTTTAGTTAATTGATTAAGTTTAGTACTTTAATCAATTAACTAAATTCTATGTAAAAGCTAATGGATGATGAGCTTGGGCAGTAATAAAGTAATGGTAAAGAGCTCTAGTTTATGAGTCAGATTGCCCATCAGCGGTTCTCAACCTGTGGGTCGCGACTCCTGAAAATACATCCTGCATATCAGATATTTACATTATGATTCCTAACAGTAGCAAAATTACAGTTATGAAGTAGCAACGAAAATAATTTTATGGTTGGGGGTCACACAACATGAGGAACTGTATTAAAGGGTCACGACATTAGGAAGGTTGAGAACCACTGGCCCTAGATTCATAATCTTGCTCTGCCACTTAATAACCTGTATAGTCACAGACAACTTAAACCCTTCTGTTTCAGCTTCTCATCTGCAAAATGATACTAGTACCTAATGCATAGGGCTTTCATGAGGACTAATGAGCTAAAAAACAAAAAAGATAAAGTGCATAGACTAGCACCTGGCTCATTGTAAACACGCAATAAATGTTAGCTCTTGTTTTCCTTCTTGTTGACTTGTAGGAGTAAAGGGT